GAACTCACATTTCCTAATTTAGGGTCCATGATTTTAGAGTTAATAGCACAACAGTTATCTGCAAGTAATGGCTTCTGGAGCTGGTCTTGCATTGGTTTCGTGTTCTTGTAAGTATTTGAAACAGCAGACATATCGTGACTTTTTATTTGAATCAGGTGTTTCATCTCACTGGAGCGGGCAAGCCACAACCAAAAAGGCTTTTTGGGTCACTTACCTGAGATGCACGTCCAATGTCTGACTTCCAGTCAGTATTTTGGTTCCTTTTTTGTATTCTTTTTGTATCAAGTTCTTGGTCTTCATTCACTGTAAATGGAACTCGGTTCCTTACTTCATTTTCTCTATTATAAAAACTCTCCTCATTTTTGTTAAAAACACGTTCAGTGTCTGCTTTGTCATGTTCATCTAACTTATTTTCACTTAAATAAAGTTTTGAAGATGACTGGCAACCATACTCTTTTGACTCAGACATGGAATACGACGGAAAAACATTTTTAAGACTGGGCTCTTTGTGTTCAGAGAATGCCTGGGATCCTACAGAGACAGAGGCTCCAGGTACATCTTTTTCCTCACAATCAAAAATATAATCTGTCACACTGGGAGGTAGTTCCTTTAAGTCACCATGTAGTTCCGAGTTGTCATCTAGTGACTCCACCTTACGATGAAAAGTAATTTTGCCTTTATCATGGATTTTACTGATTTTCTGATTTGACTTTCTTGTGATACATTCAGAATTATTTTTCCAGTCTAATTTGGCTTGTTTGACCCACATGTCCTCATGCTTCTCCACACAAGAATGTTTTGAAGATACAGGTACGTCCTTTCTGTCATGTTCCTTATTCACTTCTGGTTCTCTAGGCGTTTTTTGCAGATATACAAGTGAAAGATTAGTCTGCTTGATTTGATCTTCAGATTTCTTTTCTTTCACAGTACATGCTCGTAAAACACATGTATCCTTTAGTAGTCAAGAATGGATAAAGAAAAATAAAAAACTAATTAAAACTGAACAAACTTCTTAATCTATGTTTGGCTACTCACAAACTAAGAAGTGCAACAGAACTTGCCTTAGCCTTGAAACAGGAGAAAAACAGGAACTCAGAAACCTAACTTTGTCACTGTTTGTTTGAACTAAACAATTAATACATGTCAAATCTACAAAGATTTAGAGATTAGATTTCTAACACTACAAAGATTTCCTCATTAAAAAATATTTCACCTCACATACCTGAAATACTCAGCCCCTCCAGTGCATGTAAAGATTTTTTTTAAAGGACTAATAACTGGAGAATAAGCAAACTGCAAATTATTAGGTGCCAAAATCAACTAACATCAATCAAAGAAGGAAATTCCTGAATTTAAGTGCAAATGATATACTATGATAGTGATCTATCTCAATATGTTTTCTCTGCATCCGAGTTATACTCAAACGTTTACTACTGAGAGTGAATAAAAGAATTTTTAATAATATTTACTGATTTCCTACCCTAAAATGAAACAATTTAGAACGTTTTTGTTTGTTCCCTAATAGCAAAGGTCTAATCCTGGAAGGATTCATTCTCTTACTAGGCAGTGGGGTTGATTCTATGACAGCTCTTCTCTTCCTGACTGCAGATTCTGAAATCGATTACATAGAGATCACAAGACAGAAGAAATCTTTCATCTAGGCATTAATGACTTCCAATTTGAACCTGCAAATTTTCGACCAAAGGGAATGACTGTTCCTTACATGAAACTAACTCGGTGGCGATCACTGCTATATTATTTACACTTTCCACTGCTTAATCACATGATTTCATATTTGATATCACTTTCATTATCATGTGAGGAAGCTATAAAAATGGAAGAAGTAAACAAACAACAAGGTTTTTTGCCTCAATTCCAAGGATAAAGTTTAACTATAATTATTATAGATCCTAACAATACTTTAAGTTTTGCACATATATAAAATGCTTTTAAAAACTAATAAATAATTATTGACTCTACAAGTCTAGTTTGAAAACAATTTCTTTTGAACTCTGTTATTAAAGCATACAAAGCAATATAAACCAGAGATTTAAATTCATATTTTTACATACCTGTGAGTGGTTATTTTCACTTCCAACAAGTGTTTCTTGCTCTTCCTCAGATGTCCATTCTAAGTCTAGGTATGCTGAAAAATGAATATGCTTACTTAAAATTCACTACTTAGAATAGCTAGATAAAAGGCATCATCTTTATAAAAACATAAAACACATTTCATCAATCGACAGTTTAAATTAAGCTTAACCTTTAGCTGGATATTTACTTCTTTAAGAAATATTCCTAATTATTTAAAACTTCAACAAACTATTTGGGAAATACTAGACGTTACCAGATTAAAGGCATACAAACATCTCAAAGTTTCATTCACAAATTGATTCACCACACATGAACAAAACAAAGATAAATAAAACATTTAAAAATACAGTAGAAATATACAAAGTCACGATAGACTCTATTCTCTACCTCCTAACAGTACCTCCTTAACAACATACCAAGCTTCAAGAGCAATGTTATTCATGGTTTCCAAAACTACTGTTACTTTTTATGCTTTTATCTTTCCTTAATCTGAAACGTTTCCCTCTATTGTTCTGACAAGTTCCTTTTCCTCTTTGAAGACTCAGCTGCTCTGTGAAGTCCTCCTTGATTACAGCTGTCTTTCCATGGAGACACAAGGATCTCCTACCTCGGAGCTACCTTGGTACCTCACAGATTTTTCTAGTGTGTCTTCAGCAGCTGAACTTATTATAACTATTTCTTTACATGTCTATCCTCTTTGCTCCTATGCTGTGGAGGACAAACTCTTAAAAGTATCTCTGTATAAAACAATCCTTATTTATTAGAAAAACTTTGAGTTTAGAGCTTGCAGTCACTACT